GAAGGCAGTCGCTTAACCAACTGAGCCACCCAGGCGCCCTAGAACCCAAAATTTTTAAGAGCATAGTCAAGATTGTATTTGTTTTGGCATTAAAAATGGGATTTGAGGGGGTGCCTGGGTGGCTCAGTCAGTTAAGCATCTGACTCTAGATTTCAGCTCAGGTCATGATGTTGAGGTCATAGAATCGAGCCCCACATTGGGGCTCCATGCTCAGCTGGGAGTCTGCTTGAGATTCTCTCCCTCTGCCCCTCCCCTCCCACTCTCTCTCTCTCAAATAAATAAATCTTAAATAAAAGGGGGATTTGATTTTAAATTAAGAAAATAAGTTTTCTCCATGCTATTCCTTATATTCCACATATGAGTGAAACCACATAAGGAATAACACAGAGGACCAGAGGAAGGGATGGAAAACTGAATGGGAAAAAATCAGAGAGGGAGACAAACCATGAGAGACTCTGGACTCCGGTAAACAAACTGAGGGTTACAGAAGAGAAGGGGGTTGGGGGGATGGGGTAGCTGGGTGATGGGTATTAAGGAGGGCACATGTTTTAATGAACACTGGATGTTACACACAACTAATGAATCATTGAATACTACATCAAAAGCTAATGATGTACTATATGTTGGCTAACTGAACATAATAATAAAGAAGAAGAAAATAGGTTTTCTTATTTAGTGTTGGGTCTTGTCATCTGCTCTGTTTTCTTGCCTAAGCCTGGTAAGAAGAAGGCTTGCAGAATGGCAGTTCTAGTTATGCAATCAATGCTCAGATTGTTATTACACCAGGTAAATAAACAAATATGAATTTGTTCTACTTTTAAGAAAACACTATCAAAATTTAAATTAAAAAGCAAGTATATTGTGGGTATTGATTATTCCTTATGAAAATATGCCTTAATAAAAAGTTATCTCAATGTGCTTTTTTAATATCAGGGTCCTGCCATGTACTTAAAATATCACGTGATTTACCAGACTAATCATTCTAAGGTTTCACAGTGTACTTTGCATTGTATTATCTTTTCCAATAGCAAGATTTTTTAAGACATGCAATTTGATTTTTTAAAATCTAATTATTATAAAATCCTGAGATAACCTACTATAACATATTAGTTTATTAAATTTCTTTCAAAGATATTAATCTAATCTGATTCAAGCTTCAAGAATACATTAAAGATATTCTTTAATGCACTCATCTTCTCATCTCTCCAATGCAGGGCATTTTTCTGTTTTCATTGATCTGGTCCATTGGAGCTTCCTGTAAAGATGATGATCGGTTGAAATTTGATAAGATTCTTCGAGAACTAATGGAAGGCCCAATTTCCGAACTAACTCGAAATAAATTTAAATTACTGAGTGGCATGGAACAAACGTCTTCAAAAGCACTAACTGTCCCATTTCCTGAAAAAGGAACAATTTATGATTATCAATTTGTCACTGAGGTAAGAGCTCTGAAGCAAGATTTACAACTACCGAACAGGCAAGTTCCCTTGGAGACATATGGCACATAAAGGCCCTGGGGCCATCTTGTCAACACAATTTACCTTAAGAATCAGCATGGGGTAGTAGAGGAAGGTGCTCTGGCTTTGAAGTCAGACACATCAGGGTTTAAATCCTTGTAAAGCCACTTTCTTTCTATATAGCCTTGGACTAGTAATCTTTCTGACCCTTGTTTTTCTCTTTGATAAAATAAGATAAATAATAACAACTGATGGGCGTATTGGATTCATTAAATATAAGTACACAGTATGATATCTAGTCCAGCACTAGGTGCATGCTGTTTTAGGATACCTCTTGGGATTCATATGGTACATGTTAGCATATCACAGGTGCTAAGAAGTCCTGTAGGAACATAGCTGGGTTAGTGGCAATTCAACACTTCCCAAATGAATTGGACAATAAAACCTGGGTGGTGTTTGTTTACTTGTTTATGTGTAACAGCTCATATGAGTACTGTATTGAGGGTGTTTAGGAATACCTATTTAAATATGGAGCTTGAAGTGAAATTGGATCATACTGTATCCCCAGAGGGTAATCCTATCTCACCAATATTTCTTTAATGAACTTACTTTTCTTTTTTTTTTTTTTTTAAAGATTTTATTTATTTATTTGAGAGAGAATGAGAGACAGAGAGCACGAGAGGGAAGAGGGCAGAGGGAGAAGCAGACCCCCCGCTGAGCAGGGAGCCCGATGCGGGACTCGATCCCGGGACTCCAGGATCATGACCTGAGCCGAAGGCAGTCGCTTAACCAACTGAGCCACCCAGGCGCCCTGAACTTACTTTTCTAAAGCCTCCCTAGACTCTATTATCTGGATGGACCATAATCTATCCAAACAGTTTCCTACTCTTAGACATTGATCTGTTTTTGTTGTTTCTTAGTTTTTCTGCTTTGGTGAATATTCTTTTTTTTTTTAAGATTTTATTTTTTTGCAAGAGAGAGAATGAGAGACAGAGAGCATGAGAGGGAGGAGGGTCAGAGGGAGAAGCAGACTCCCTGCTGAGCAGGGAGCCTGATGTGGGACTCGATCCTGGGACTCCAGGATCATGACCTGAGCTGAAGGCAGTCGCTTAACCAACTGAGCCACCCAGGCGCCCTGGTGAATATTCTTATATACAAGTCATTGTGTACATATCTAATTGTTTCTTTAAGATAAGTTCCTGGGAAAGGAATTTGCTGTATCAATTTATAAATTTTAATGGCTCTTGAGATGTATTGCCAAGCCCACCTCAGAAGAGATTCTTCACTCTGCCAGCCACAAGATATTATCCTATTATTTTTTGCTAATTTTATTTTATTTCAAATTACTAACAGTACCCTGCATTTTCAGAGCATCTTGCAGTTTACTAAGCTTTTCCACCATCATTTCTGTTTGTTTCCCAATATCTCAGTGAAATAGGAAAGATAGTATTATTTTGCAAATCTTCCCACTGGGGAAATTAGGGCTCAGAGATATTACATGATTTTTCCCAGTATCACAAAATCTCTAAATGAATATTCACTCCAGAAAGATTCTTAATCTTTCCTTTCCCATATGGTGGCAAAAGATCCATGTTACAAAAGATTATCAAGAATATGGGAAGGACATTGTTTCTTCTTCAGTTCTAGAAAGTTCTAGATACTTCTTTGCAATACAGTTCTTCAACTTGATGTGAATTCACCCTCCTAAAAAAAAAAAAAATCTGTACTATATGCATAGCACAGTGCCAGAGGATACAAAAATGAGTAAGTCACTGTGCTGCCCTCAGTGAGTTCTTAACCTCTTCAGAAGACTGTCATGTGACACTCTAGGCCAAAAGAGTGCCCTGTGGGAAGATCCAGGGACCTGGGCATATTGGGAAACAGTAGGTCCATCAGTGGGGCTGGAATGTGGGACACATGAAGGAAGGAGGGTCTGAATTCTGATGTGTTTCGAATGAGGAGGAACTTAAATTTGATTCTGTAAGAATGAAGAGAGCAGTGATGTTTTTCTAAGGCAAGAGAGTTAACATGCTATTTTTGAAAGTTTTTGTTCTAAAGCCTGCATAGCAAATACAAATTTTAGTTGACAAGGTAATTGGATACAAAGATATAGTATAATGTTAATTCATAATAGTAATCTCTCATGAACAAATCTTGGCATTCTAGATATCTGTTGCACAACAATGTGAATATAGTTAACACTACTGACCTGTATGCTTAAAAAATGGTCGAAGGTAAATTTTAGGAGTTTTTTTTAACCACAATTAAAAAAAACTCACCTAAAATGATAAGCTTATGTTATACATACCATTATAAAAGTATGAGCAACATGCAGCTGATGTTCTAGGGAAAAAAATTCTATATTGGTTAACACTTACTGAATAAAATTCTTTACTCTTCAGTGCACTGATTAGTTTTCTCAGTGCCATTAAAGAATCTAAGATTTGGCCAAAATATATGATCTTTGGGTTAACATAATCAGTGGTTTTAGCAATCAGAAATATCACAGCATTGCCACTTCATTTTGATTCATATAAAAGCCTAGTTTCTCCTCAATTTAACACAAAATTTAACTTTAAAACTCAGAGTGAAGTGTTTTAAAGAATAAAAACAAATATGTAAATATCAGTGGTTTCTGGTTTTGTTTTTGGTCTTGATCTTTGATCTTTTCTACAATGGCACAGGATAACAGAGCTTTTAAAAGTATTTTATAACAATATTCACCATTTGGCTGTTTATTATAAACAGGGAATAGGAAAATGGGAACCATGGGTAAAGAAATTGGCAGATACTCCTCAAATTCCTAAGGATATGATGTTTAATGAAATCATTGTACCAACTCTGGACACGGTTCAATGCTCTGCTTTAATGGAATTGTTGACCACCCATAAAAAGCCTTCAATATTTGTAGGACCAACAGGAACTGGAAAGAGTGTTTATATTATTGTAAGTATTGTAGAAATCTACATGTTAAAATGTGCATAATATTCCTAAGAATGTTATTTTTTAACTACCTGAAAAAGATTTCATATTTTTTAAATATTAAAATATTTTGATTTGTAGCCACAGAGAATTTTTGAGTAACTGTCTATTTATTTTAGAAATTGACTAAAGATATGCCATTTTATATCACTAAATTATTGTATCTTTTTAAATTATTGTACCTTTTATTTTATTTTATTTTATTTTAGATTTTATTTGTTTATTTGAGAGAGAGAATGAGAGACAGAGAGCATGAGAGGGAGGAGGGTCAGAGGGAGAAGCAGACTCCCTGCCAAGCAGGGAGCCCGATGCGGGACTCGATTTGTTAAAATAAACCTGGGGGAAAAAAGCCTCATCTAAAAAAAAGAGAGAGAGAGAAAAGGAAAAGGAACAAAAACAGACTAACAAAAAACTATAAACCTGATTCCAAAGTGGGGAGGGGGGAGAAAGAAGGAAAAAGAAAAAGAGAAACCTAATCCAAAAAAACGAGAAAAGGAACAAACCAAGGAATGAGCAAAAACCTATAAGATCAGCAGATTAAAATATAAAATCAATAAAGAACTAGACGGGTATGGTCATAAAGTGGGCGAATGTGTGTAAACTGAGAGCCTACAATGAGAGGGACCACTGATGGCTTCTTTGGGCTCCTCTCCCTGCTTTCCTGGTCTTCTTCCCACCCCACAGCCAGGCGGGGGGCAGAGCTAGACAAAGAGAGGCAAAGTCCTACCTTACTGGCATCACTGTGGTTCTCTCTTAGCTAATGCGGTCTTGCCTGCTGTCATGGAAAGCTTCCAAATGCTTGCTCTCTGAGAGGAGCAGAGCTGCAAGATATTTAGGTATTCTAAAGGGACACCCACACTGTACAGTTCTCTGCCATAAGGGAACTAACGGGGATCCCACACGGTTGTGGGCAGTCATCTAGAATGGAGTCCCAAGAAGGGTGAAGTCCACTTATCTTCCACATTGTCCCGTTGACCCTGGGAAAACTTGCACATTCTTGTCATGACAAATCTGTGGGTGATACTATTAGCTGCAGCCAGCTTTCTGCCTTTAGAAATCTGAAACTAGAGGCAAGAACTGGTCTTTGTTCAATATGATCTTCTAAACCCAAGGGAACTAAGACTGTGTAAAGTTACTTGAGATTTTGGGCATTATCTGTTATAGCAGCTAGCATTTTCTTATCAAACACACAATGGGTATGATTCCAGAAGTCAAAGAAGATCAGTTTTATTACTACATAGTAATCCTCCAAATATTAAATCATTTTGAAAATTAAATATTAATTAAACACCCTTTCCTTTCAAGGGATATGAAATTCTTCATCCTAAATGAGCTATTTTAAAAGGTACAATAATTTAGGGCGCCTGGGTGGCTCAGTTGGTTAAGCGACTGCCTTCGGCTCAGGTCATGATCCTGGAGTCCCAGAAGAAGAAGTCCCTTTTTGTGGAGAGAAGTCAGGGAGAGAGAGAGAGAGAGAGGGTGGGAGAGGAAGCAACGCATAGGGTTAGCTCAAGACACTATGGTGTGGGGACCCCTGGGTCGCACTGGGAGAGAAGGAAGGTTTGTCTTCTGGGAGTATGTTTGGAAGAGGGTATTGCCTCTCCAAGGGTGCCACTGATTGGCCGTTCAACAGCATGGGACAGAGGCGCAGGCAGAGGACAGATAACCTGGTGGCAGCTTTTCACTGTACTTCACCATAGACTCCAGGCACCACCGTGGCCGTGAGACTGCTTTTCTGAGACAGAATGGTGCCGGGCTCAGCTCTCCTCTCCCCTAGGGGAGAGCGGGTCTGCGCCTTGCCCGGTCCTTTAAGATTTCAAGTTTTGAATTCCAGCCATGCGCTAGAGATAAAACAGAGGAGAACTGTGGCGCTGGGCACAGATAGGTTGGGCGTAGGGATCTGATGAGGGCCTGGGACACAGGAGGAGAGATTATTTGTGTGAGTGTCTCCTGAACAGCGGTGGCCCCAAGGTCAGCTACCTGGAGAGGAGAGGATGGGGTGACGCTACCTTCCACACACACCCCAACCCCCCTCCCCACCCCGCCCTTGCCCACCAGTACAGTTGGACTTTAGACAGAACCACAGTGCCTCCAGGGGAGGCTGGAGCCGCTTACACCAAACCCCGCCCCCCTGCATCTTCACAAGGGTAGGTCTGGCTCTGAGCCCGCACAGCAGGCCTCTCTCTCAGAGGAACAATACAGCACACCCCCCCACCCCCCGCCCCCATATACACCAAATCTACTGATCACTGAGTGCTCCAAAATGTCAGCTTCAGTTCTGGTGGAAATAGGACAAGGCTTTCTTTTTAAATATTTTTAAACTTTTTTAAAATTTCTTTTTCTTTTTTTTTCTTTGGAATTAGGCTTATAGGTTTTTGCTCATTCCTTGGTTTGTTCCTTTTCTCGTTTTTTTGGATTAGGCTTCTCTCTTTTTTTCTTTTTCCTTCTTTCTCCCCCCTCCCCACTTTGGAATCAGGTTTATAGTTTTTTGTTAGTCTGTTTTTGTTCCTTTTCCTTTTCTCTCTCTCTCTTTTTTTTAGATGAGGCTTTTTTCCCCCAGGTTTATTTTAACAAATCAAAGAAGCATACCTAGGTAAAGGTCCAAAGAGTCCCCATTGCAAGCAAGGAAGAATTCCACAGAGGACTGACCTCTGGGAAAGAGCAGCCAAAACACATCAGCAGAGTGCAAACAGTATACACCAGAAATGCTTTCAGAAATGCCTGGCCCTGGACAGAGTGTGACTCCTTCTTAATATTTTCACTCTCAGGAGCAGGAAACATAACAAGCTTTCATAACACACAAAAGACAGAAACCTCAACATAATGACAAGATAGAGGAATTCTCCCCTAAAGAAAGATGAAGAAGAAATCACAGCCAGGGATTTGCTCAAACCAGATATAAGCAATGTATCTGAACAAGAATTTAGAACAACAGTCTTAAGAATACTGGCTGGACTTGAAAGACGCATAGAAGACATCAGAGAAACACTGGCTACAGAGATAAGAGATCTAAAAACCAGTGAGGCTGAAATAAAAAATGCTATGACTGAGATGCAAAACTGATTATATGTAATCACAGTGAGGATGGAAGAAGCAGAGGAAGAAATAGGTGATACAGAAGATAAAATTATAGAAGGTAATGAAGCTGGAAAGAACAGGGAAAAAACCTATTAGATCACAAATATAGACTTGGGAACTCAGTGATTCCATAAAGCACAAGAATATCCATATTGTAGGAGTCCCAGAAGAAGAAAAGTGGGAAAAGGGGGTAGAAAGTTTATTAGAACAAATTATAGCTGAAAACTTCTTTAATCTGGAGAAGGAAACAGGCATTTAAGTCCAAGAGGCACAGAGAACTCCCTTCAAAATCAACAAAAACAGGTCAACATCAAGACATATCATAGTGAAAACTTGCAAAATACAGAGAGAATTCTGAAAGTAGCTAGGGAAAAGACATCCTTAACCTACAAGGGTAAACACATGAGGTTAGCAGCAGACCTGGCCCCAGTAAATTGGCAGGCCAGAAGAGGATGGTATGAAATATTCAACATGCTATGGAGAAAAATATGCAGCCAAGAAAACTTTATCAGGCAAAGTTGTCATTCAGAATAGAAGGAAAGATAAAGAGTTTCCCAGACAAGCAAAAATTAAAGGAGCTCATGAACACTAAACCAGCCCTGCAAGAAATATTAAAGGGGCCCCGTTGAGTGGGAAAGAGACCAAAAACAACAAAGACTAGAAAGGAAACAGAGACAATCTACAGGGACAGCAACTTTACAGCTAATACAATGGCACTAAATCATATCTATCAATAATTACTCTGAATGTAAATGGACTCAATGCTCCATTCAAAAGCCATAGGGTATCAGAATGAATTAAACAAACAAACAAACAAACAAAACAAGACACATTGATATGCTGCTTACAAGACTCATTTTTGACCCAAAGACACCTGCAGATTGAAAGTGAGGGGGTGGAGAACCATTTATCATGCTAATGGTTATCAGAAGAAAGCTGGAGTAGCCATACGTTTTTCAGCAAATTAGATTTTAAACCAAAGTCTGTAATAAGAGATGAAGAAGGTCGCTAGATCATAATAAAGGGGTCTATACAATAAGAAGATTGAACAATTGTAAATATTTATGCCCCCAAACTGGGAGCACCCAAATATATAAATCAATAACAAGCATAAGGAAATTCATTGATAATAATACAATTATAGTAGGGAAATTTACCACCCCACTCACAGCAATGGACAGATCATCTAAGCAGAAGATCAACAAGGAAACAAGAGCTTTCAATGACACACTGGACCAGATGGACTTACCAGATATAGTCAGAACATTTCATCCTCAAGCAGCAGAATACACATTCTTTTCAAGTGCACATGGAACATTCTCCAGAATAGATCACATACTATGTCACAAATCAGGCTTAACCAGTACAAAAAGATTGAGATCATACCATGCATATTTTCTGACCACAATGCTATGAAACTTGAAGTCAATCACAAGAAAAAATTTGGAAAGATGAAAAACATGGAGGTTAAAGAACATCCTACTAAAGAATGACTAGGAAATTAGAGAAGAACTAAAAAAATACATGGAAACCAATGAAAATGAAAACACAACTGTCTAAAACCTTTGGAACACAGCAAAGGCAGTCATAAGAGGGAAGCATATAGCAATACAGGCCTCCCTCAAGAAGAAAAAAAGTCAAATACACAACTTAACCTTACACCTAAAGGAGCTGGAAAAAGAACAGCAAATAAAGCCTAAAACCAGGAGGAGGGAAAGAATTAAGTTTACAGCAGAAATAAATGATATAGAAATAAAAAAAAAAAAAACAGCAAAACAGATCAACAAAACTAGGAGCTGGTTCTTTTAAAGAATTAAAATTGATAAGCCCCACCCAGACTTAATAAAAAGAAAAGAGAAAGGACCCAAGTAAATAAAATCACAAATGAGAGAGGAGAAATCAAAACCAACAATGCAGAAATACAAACAATTATAAGAGAATATTATGAGCAATTATATGCCAACAAATTGGACAATCTGGAAGAAATGGATAAATTCCTAGAAACATATAAACTACCAAAACTGAAACAGGAATAAATAGAAAATTTGAACAAACCCATAACCAGTGAAGAAATTGAATAAGTAATCAAAAATCTCCCAACAAATAAGAGTCCCAGGCCATAGCTTCCCAGGGGAATTCTACCAAACATTTAAAGAAGAATTAATACATCTTCTGAAGCTGTTCTAAAAACAGAAATGGAAGGAAAATTTCTAAACTCTTTCTGTGAGGCCAGCATTACCTTGATTCCAAAACCAGACAAAGACCCCACCAGAAAAGAGAATTACCAATATTCCTGATGAACATGGATGCAAAAATTCTCAACAAGATACTAGTTAATTGAATCCAACAGTACATTACAAGGATTATTTACCATGATCAAGTGGGATTTATTCCTGGGCTGCCAGGGTGATTCAATATCCACAAATCAATCAATGTGATATACCACATTAATAAAAGAAAGGACAAGAACTATCTGATCCTTTCAATAGATGCAAAAAAAAAAAAAAGAAAGAAAGAAAGAAAGAAAAAGCATTTGACAAAATATAGCATCCTTTCTTGATAAAAATCCTCAATAAAGAAGGGATAGAAGGAACATACCTCAATGTCATAAAGGCCTTATAGGAAAGACCCACAGCGAATATCATTCTCAATGGGGAAAAAGTGAAAGCTTTTCCCCTAGGGTCAGGAACACGACAAGGATGTCCACTCTCACCACTGTTGTTCATCATAGGACTGGAAGTCCTGGCTTCAGCAATCAGACAACAAAAAGAAATAGAAGGCATCCAGTTTGGCAAGGAAGAAGTCAAACTTTCACTCTTTGCAGACAACATGATATTCTATGTGGAAAACCAAAAAGATTCCACCAAAACATTGCTAGAACTAATACATGAATTCAGCAAAAGTGGCAGGATATAAAATCAATGTACAGAAATCTGTTGCATTTCTATACACCAATAATGAAGCAGTAGAAAAGGAATCAATCCCATTAAAAATTGCACCAAAAACCATAAGATACCTAGGAATAAACCTATCCAAAGAGGTAAAAGATCTGTATGCTGAAAACTATAGAACAATGGTGAAAGAAATTGAAGAGAACACAAAGAAATGGAAAAACATCCCATGCTCATGGATTGCAAGAAAAAATATTGTTAAAATGTCTATACTACCCAAAGCAATCTATACATTCAATGCAATCCCTATCAAAATACCACCAGCATTTTTCACAGAGCTAGAACAAACAATCCAAACATTTGTATGGAACCACAAAAGACCCTGAATAGCCAGAGGAATGTTGAAAAAGAAAAGCAAAGCTGGAAGCATCACAATTCTGGACTTAAAGCTGTATTAAAAGTAATCATCAAGACAGTATGGTACTGGCACAAAAACAGGCACATAGATCAATGGAACAGAATAGAAAACCCAGAAATGGACCTATAAGTCTATGGTCATCTAATCTTTGACAAAGCGGGAAAGAATATCCAATGGAAAAAAGAGTCTCTTCAACACATGGTGTTGGGAAAACTGGACAGCGACATGCAAAAGAATGAAACTGGACCACTTTCTTATACCATACACCAAAATAAATTCAAAATGGATGAAAGACCTAAATGTAAGACAGGAAAACATCAAAATCCTAGGGGAGAACACAGGAAGCAACCTCTTTGACCTTGGCTGCAGCAACTTCTCGCTAGACGTATCTCCAGAGGCTAGGAAAACAAAAGCAAAAATGAACTATTGGGACTTCATCAAGATAAAAAGCTCTGCACAGCAAAGGAAACAGTCAACAAAACTAAAAGGCAGTCTACAGAATGGGAGAAGATATTTGCAAATGACATATCGGATAAAGGCTAGTATCCAGAATCTATGAAGAACTCATCAAAATCAACACCCAAAAAATAAATAATCCAATCAAGAAATGGGCAGAGGACATGAATAGACATTTCTCCAAAGAAGACATACAAATGGCCAACAGACACAGGGAAAAATGCTCAACATCAGTCGGCATCAGGGAAATACAAATCAAAACCACAATGAGATACCACCTCACAGCAGTCAGAATGACTAAAATTAACAACTCAGGAAAATACAGATGTTGGCAAGGATGGGGAGAAAGGGGAATCCTCTTGCACTGTTGGTGGGAATGCAAACGGGTGCAGCCACTCTGCAAAACCATAGGGAGGGTTCTCAAAAATTTAAAAACAGAACTACCCTATGACCCAGCAATTGCACTACTAGTATTTATCCAAAGGGGCACATGCACCCCAATGTTTATAGCAGCACTATCAACAATAGCCAAATTACGGTAAGAGCCCAAATGTCCATCAACTGATGAATGGATAAAGATGTGTATATATACAATGGAATATACTTAGCCATCAAAAAGAATGAAATCTTGCCATTTGCAACAACATGGATGGAACTAGAGTGTATTATGCTAAGCAAAATAAGTCAGTCAGAGAAAGACAAATATCATGTGATTTCACTCATCTGTGGAGCTTAAGAAACAAAACAGATGAAGGGAAGGAAAAATAAAAACAGAGAGGGAGGGGTGCCTGGGTGGTTCAGGTGGTTAAGCATCCTGCTCTTGATTTCAGCTCAGGTCATGATTTTGGGTCTTGGGATCAAGCCCCATGTGGGGTTTCACGCCCAGTGGGGTGTCTGCTTCTCTCTATCTCTCCCACCCTTCTTCCCTCCCTCCCTTTCCCTCTGCTCCTCCCCCAGCTCATGTGGGGTCTCTCTCTCTCTCTCTAAAACATAAATAATTCTTTAAAAAAAAAAAGAGAGAGAGAGAGAGGGAGGTAAACCATAAAACCATAAGTGACTCTTAACTATAGACAACAAACTGAGGGTTGCTGGAGGGGAGGTAGGTGGGGGGATGGTCTAAATGGATGATGGGCATTAAGGAGGCATTTGTTGTGATGAGCACTGGGTGTTATATGTAAGTGATGAATCACTAAATTCAACTCCTGAAACCAATACTACACTATATGTTAACTAACCTGAATTTAAATTAGAAAAACATACAAAAAACAAAGATCTTTCTGAAAGTATAGAGAAAGCTAAGGGATTTACCCAAGATATCATCAAGAGTCAAGGAATGGAGGCTTGATATTGTTAAAGGCAGTGGTTGGAGAAAAAGAAAGCCTTTTGTCATTTGTACCTTCATCCCAAATTGAGCCCAGGCATTAAACCTGCCCAGGGGAAAAAAATTACTTTTTACAAAATGGGGAACATACTTTGCATTTTATTTTATTTTTTTCTACCTAACAGAACGTAAATATTTTCTTATGTCATTGTTCTTTTACAAGATGATTTGTAAAACACAACATCTTGATTAAGAATCATTATAATTGCACCTGCTTTCCAGTGAAATCCATTTTGAAAATACAGTTATATTATTTAAGCTTCCTAACTAATAGAAAACTTGGTATTTAAGTGGAAAGATAAGCTATAATAAAATGAACATTGATCTGGAAAGAGACACATGGCAATCTGAATTCTTGCCCCACCCCTGAGACCATAAGCAAGTTTCTTAGCCTCTGAGTCCCCATGACCTCATGTTAAGAAGGTATGTGTACTTTGCATGGTGATTTTGGAAATCAGAAAAGCCACATGCATGGGGCCTGGACAAACAGGGACATGTCACTGGTATGGTAACTGTTATCTCTATTGATTCCATCTCTTCTTTCAATTGTTATGACACTCTAAGTTTAAATTCAAGTGTGTCAACAATGATGCTTAGTGTTTATTTTGAAATGTCAGTGCATAATTCCAACTATGGCTCATTTTATTATTTCCTGTTATATAGAATTTTCTTTTAAATCAACTCAATAAAGAAATCTACAAGCCTCTACTAATTAACTTCTCAGCACAAACTACAGCAGCTCAAACTCAGAATATTATCATGTCAAAATTGGACAAAAGAAGAAAGGGAGTTTTTGGTCCTCCTTTGGGCAAGAGAATGGTAATTGCTCTCTGTTTCTATCCATATGGTATAGCACTGGTCCTCTTCATGTCCCCTGCTACAGTCAGAACAAGGAAACCAGATATACTAGGACTTGACATCTTTTTGTACATTTTTTTTTAATCACAAAATTTTTAAAAAATTTTATTTTTAAGTAATCTCTACACCCAACATGGGGCTCGAATTTACAACACCAAGATGAAGAGTCGGATGCTCTACTGACTAAGTTAGCCAGGCGCCCCTTTAATCACAAATTTTGATTAAGTTTTCCTTAAAGTGTGTTCATATTTGCATGTGCATTAGACAACTTGACATTAAAAACAAGCAATTGCCCTTTGAATTAAAAAGTAGAATATTCATCTAGGAAATTATCTACCTTTCTAATTTTCTGATTAACATTTTTATTCAGCAGAATCTTGCTGCTTGCTCCTCTAGACCTTTAAACAACCCAGCTATCAATTGACTTTTCTGTGTTCCTGCCAAAAATACCCTTCTGAGCCTCACTTGTCACCACTCAGAGGTTATAATCATTTTAAAATCCTACCTTTCTCATTTACTTTAATGTATTGAAATTGTATAAGGAAAAAGAGGAGGGATATTGATAAATTGGGTGAGAGGATGAATAACTCCTCAACTCTTAATCTATAAAGGTTAGTAACGAGACTTTCCCTATTCCTTACAAGCATGGATGCTAGGGGATATTATTCTTGATTTGAAAAGAGACCATCATTTCTCACATATGTATGGTACAAGAAGATAATCTAATTCTTTGCCTCAACACTGTTGACACAATAGGATAATATATTAAGGTGATAATATTTTCTAATATCACTTCTCTTTTTACTCCCAGGTTGTCTTTGTAGATGATGTCAATATGCCCGCTCGGGAAGTATATGGGGCTCAGCCTCCCATAGAGTTGCTTAGACAATGGTTAGATCACTGGAATTGGTATGACCTAAAAGATTGTTCTATGATTAAACTAGTGGACATTCAAATCATGTGTGCTATGGGACCTCCAGGTACGTTTTCTGAGTTTGTGATTACTAAGGTTGAGAATCACCCTGGTTATATCTAGAGAGATGGCTAGAGAAAGAAAGAGAAACCCAACTGGACAATCTGAGTTACAATTTTTTGTGTATGTTTTCTCTGTGTATACCTTTGGACCTATGGGAATGTATTATAATGGTCAACACTACAAAGTGGGTTGCCTTGCTTGGGGCCATTCTCCCACCAGTTCTTCCAGATCCTTTTTCTCCCACCTTCTGCAACTTTGCACTTCCTTTCTCTGTATTCTAAGGAACCCAGATCCCCATGAAGCAGCTCATTTCCCTCTGTTTTATTCCTTAATTCTTCAACTGTATGAAATCCCCGTATCTACCCCAATCAAGTCCCATCCTAGTGAGTCTTTGGATTTAGACAGGCTGTGAAGAGGATTTTAAGTAGCAAACAGCCAAAAGAATTAACCCTTAAAGATTCTTTACATTTCTCAATGGAAATTGATAAACTCAAAGGAATCTATGCAGGGGAAATTTTTTTATGATGGGGTATCAAAAGTGGCTTGATTCAACTAACTAGACATTCTTAACTGGTTTTTTTTTTTCCCTGAACTGAAGCTGGTAGTCTCGTCTTTAAAAATTCATTTTCTCCATATATCATTTCTTCAGGGAATCTCTTCAGTGTTTGCCTCCTGACCCCCTGACCTTTTTTGACCTGTAACCCAGTCAGGTTGCTCTGAGTCAGTAATTGCTCTCAGCACACTTCCTGGGCCACTTCAAATGCTTTTTTTCTTCTCATTTTTTTTCTTTCAAGTTTTTGTTTAAATTCTAGCTAACTGACATACTGTGTAATATTATTTTGAAGTATAGGATTTAGTGATTCATCATGTACATGCAACACCCAGTGCTCTCACAAGTGCCTTCCTTAATCCCCATCCCCTATCTAACCCATCCCCCTGCCCACCACCTCTCCAGCAACCCTCAGTTTGTTCTCTATAGTTAAGAGTCTGTTTTATGGTTTGCCTCTGTTTTCTGTTCTAAAAAAAAAAAAAGATTTGTCTATATATTTAAAGATAATACCAATAATTTTTTAAAATGTTGCATTCTAAGTTAGTTATTAAAGCCTCATATTTGAGGGGCTCCTGGGTGGCTCAGTTAGTTAAGAGTCCAACTCTTGATTTTGACTCAGGTCATGATCTCAGGATTGTGAGATCAAGCCCTGTGTCAGGCTCCACACTCAGCATGGAATCTGCTTGAGATTTTCTTTCTCTCCCTCTCTCTCTGCCCCTCCCTCCACTCGTGCATGCTCTCTCTCCCTCAAAATAAATAAATAAAATCTTAAAAAAAAAAAAGCCTCATCTTTGAAAATGTAATCATCATTTTACAAAAGTGAGACAATCCCCAAATTTTTAAAAATGCAGGGATTGTCTCACTTTTGTAAAATGTTTGAGAAAATATTCTGTGTAGTAGTAACATTGTTAAGAGTTACTCTTTTTAATATTTAGGTGGTGGTCGAAATCCAGTAACTCCCCGATATATGAGACATTTCAACATTATAACAATCAATGAGTTTAGTGATAAATCCATGTTTACAATCTTCTCTAGAATCTTAACCTGGCATTTAAAAATCTGGTAAGTAATTTAAAGTGTGTTTCTTTTTTCATTAGGGGGTATAAAGTCTTTTGGAAACAGATCAATATAAGTAGTGCTTCTCAAACTATTCGCTGAAAACATCCCTAGATAAAGAAAGAGATAACAGGTAACATTGCTCCCCTCTGCTGCTCTCATCTCCAGATATGGGAGCATAATGCCAAGGGGCCAAAGTATCTTTCTCTTTTTGTCTGATGTCTTGAATTTTAGCCCCAAAATACATACAAGTTTTGCACTCTGCTATATAGTATGTCCATGGCAGAATTATTAATGTTTTGAATTTTCACCATGTAATACAATTAATGCTGGAAAGGTGTATGTTAGGTTTATCCTGTGACTTTGATACCCTGTGGTAGAACTCGTGAGTTCCCCAAGGAGATTTATATCTAAGTTTGAGTGTAGCCTTTGAGCCTGAACCCTGGGGGAAATGTTGCTGCCTAACTCTGGACAGTCAGGGCTTCTCCACATGGTGTGCAGAGGTCAGGGAGCCAAGTGGACCTTGGCAGTGCAAGTCTCTGCTCCCTGACGTCCATTCTCAGGAAATTGCCAATCCTTGCCCTATCCAGTGATGATGGAGAAAGACAGCTGGCTCCTCGTTGAGCCAGAAGTTAAAGATAGTCAAGTTTTTCCAAATGCATATTCATTCTACATGTTCTTTTTACCCCAGTTGTGCCCTTTGCCCTTCTTTTTTTAATCCCGACTCACTATTTCACTTTCCTGTTAACTCTTCTTTTTCTTTTCCTCTTTTTCTTTTTTCTGTATTTTTATTTCCTTCCTTGTTTGCTCTGAAAATACTCATTTCACCAGTGTTCTTCAGGAATTCCTTTTATATGCAATTGAAAATGCTAAGGGGTGAAAGTGAGTAGGACACATTTGTCTAGTGGGTGCTTGATTTGAGTTATATAATTGGGGTTCCTCGGCTGGCTCTTTTGTCTGCTTACTTAAGTAGTTTTAAGTCCATTACATTAGTCCTGCCTTCCCATGGAGTTTCTTTGAACATAAAATAAAATAATGAATGGAAAGTAGTTTTAAAAGAAATTAAAAGTCCATTATTATTATTATTATTATTATTATTATTATTGTCATTAGAAATGGTAATCTTATAAATTAAATCATTTGATTTAATCAGAATAAATTTCACCCTAGGCATGCTCAGTGTCATTTATGTATCATATATGCTAACATTTTCTTTTTTTATTAAATTTTTTCTTAAGTTATAAATTTCCAGACGATTTTCTAGATTTGACCACACAAATTGTTAATGGTACGATGGCTCTATATAAAGAAGCCATGAAGAATCTCTTGCCTACTCCAGCTAAATCTCACTACTTGTTCAACCTCCGTGATTTCTCCCGTGTCATTCAGGGAGTTTGCCTGTCCAGACCAGAAACAGCAGAAACCAAAGTAGTGATTAAACGTCTCTGGGTTCATGAGGTAAATTTTTGTGTTACTGAAATATGATTATGCTAGAAGCAAAGATTTTATCATGGCAGCAACTGGGTAAAAAGAAACATTTAGCAGTTTATATTGTTGATGCGTTCAGCTATTTGGCATTATGAAGGCCAATGATCAAGGTAATTTAAAAGAATATTTAGCACTAATATATCTTATGATATTTAAAAAGGATTATCTCCTGTTTTTAGAAATTTTTGTTGACTTACAAGATATTTCAAAGTAGGTATCACTTTGGGTCAATCTCCTTTAAGTGACTTAATCCTTGATAGTTTGATTTCAAATAATTTTTGAGATGGAATATATTTTAAGGAGCTGTTTTTATAAGAAATGAATGTGTTTATCTACAGTACTTACTTGTATTTCTAGATGCCAAAACAACTGCAAAGCAAACCAGTTTTGAAAGCATAAAACTACATTAAAAATATATTTAAGTTCTTTTTGGAAAGAGGTATATGGGTGAACATTTTCTTATAAAAACTTATGGAAGGAAGGAGAGAAAGAATACAAAAAATAAGGCAACAAAAATAATTTAATATCTTAAAAATAAAGAATTATAGGAAAATAAAAGAAAAAATGTTTTATTTTTAATATGTAAATAATATAGCTATTTAATTTTAATAATGTAGTTAAGAAATCTAGAAAATAGGAATGTACTATGTTAAAACCATGTGCTATAGAGATAAAAATTTCAAAAGGGCATTTAGAAATGGAATTTTTAATGTAATGAAATTCATAATATAATAACTTGAAATTTTTAGTGAGTACTTCATATAATGTAATGAGTTTAAGTTCTCAGCTCAAAATCTTCCAATAGCACTCTACTTCATTGGGAGGGATTAAACATAAACTTCAGGTGGCCCATAAGATTGCCTATGTGTACCTCTTTTCTGGCTCCCCTCAGGCTGCCTCTTGCTCTCACACTCATTCAACTTCACCAGCAATACAGGCCGACTGGCTGTTCCCTCTGCCCCAGATCCTGTGGGTTAGCTTCCTACTGCCTTTGATCAAATCTTTCCTTCTTGATGAGGCCCACACTGACCACCCTATTGTATACAACAGGCTCACACCCCACTAGCAGTTCCAGTCTTTCTTGACTTTACTCTATTTTTCTTCTTTACATAGCATTTATCAGCATCTAACATACCATATAATTTATTTGTCATGTTTATTGTCCATCTCCCTCAGATAGCGGGCAAGCTCCATGAGGTCCCTGATTTATCCACAGTGCTGAGAACAGTGCTAGACACATTGTTCTCAACATTTCAAAAAAAAATAGGAAGTGATTGAACTCAACACTCTATTTTTGCTTGTTTCTATTCACTCAAAAAAGATTTCCTAAGGGTCTGATATGGGTCAGATACTACTTTGGGTGTCCTTTTTCTTTCCGGACACTTTTACCAAATCAGAAGACCTAATGTGATTTTATTAAATAGGTTTCAAGGTATGAAACTGGCTTACTATTTTACATTCTCTTTGGCTTCTCCATGGCTTTCAAACATCTGTGTGCATAACATCTGATTTGCTTATTAAATACAGTTATTCTGCACAAGTGACCCAAGGAAAAAAATAAATTAGTTTTCATCAAAGTTAAAAATGTTCATGCTTCAAAGGATACTGTCTAGAAAGTGAAAAGACAACCCATAGAATGGGAAAAAATATTTGCAAGTCCTACATCTGATCAATGTCTCATATCCAGAAAACATAAAGAACTATTACAACTCAACAGTAAAAGACAAATAAACCAATTTAAAAGTGGGCAAAGGATTTGAATAGACATTTCTCCAAAGATGATATACGGATGGCCAATAAGCACATGAAAAGATGTTCAACATCATTAGTCATTGGTGAAATGCAAATCAAAACCACGGTAAGGTATACCTCGCACCCACTAGGATGGCTGTCATCCCAACGACAGATAATAACAACTGTTGGTGAGGATGGTGGAAGAATCAGAGCCCTTGTCCACTGCTTATGGGTATGAAAAGTTGTGCAGCTGCTTTGGAAAACAGCTAGTTCCTCAAAACGTTACACATAGAGTTACCACATGACCCAGCAGTTCTGCTCCTAGCCATATACTCGAGAGAACTGAAAACATATGTCCACACAAAAACTTGTACACGAATGTTATTAGAATTATTCATAATAAACAAAAAGTGGACACAACTCACATATACATCAGCTGATGAATGGACAAACAAAATGTGGTATATACATACAATGGAATTTTATTCAGCCCTAAAAAGAAATACCGATGCATACTACAACATGGATGAAACTAGAAACATCATGCTAAGTGAAAGAAACCAGATTATGTTATATGATCCCATTTATATAAAATGTGCAGAATAAGCAAATTAATAGTGATAAAAAGTAGAGTAATGGTTGCCAAGGGTTGTGGGGGTGCTGGGGGACAGCAAGGAGTGACTGCTAATGGGTACAGGGTTGCTATGTAGGGTGATGAAGAGGTTCTAGAATTAGAGAGTTGTGAAGTTTGCTCAAGTTCATGAATATTATAAAAACCACTGAATTATAATGCTTTAAAAGAGTGAATGTTATGTGAATTATATATCAATTAAAACAACCTGTAATTAAGGCTTGGAGATAAACTCAAAGCATAAATACAATATAATAAAAAATATTCCAGAGATAACCTTTCTTGGAATGTTGTAGATTTATAAAAGAAAAATTTTACATATCAACTTTTTAAAAATGGAAGAGGGGGCAGCAGAATCAGAAGGTAGAGAGAAGGGGATCAGGCAGAAGTGAGCATGAGAGAGCCTGAGGTACTGGAAGTGTTCTGTATCTTGATCTTGGTGGTGGTGACGTGGGTATATAAATGTGTAAAAATTCTTGGAGCTGTACACTTAAGATTTTTGTATCTTATATAAAGAAATAGAAGTAGACAAATAAGATACTCCCAGGCACCATCTTGAAAGTTTTCAAGTCAGGGTCCAGAGTAGGCCCCTGCCATCTGCATTTTAGCAAGTACCACAGATGATTCAATACAGGTGTGGTTACAGTCCTTGAGAAATACTACCTTAGGTTCTTGCTAAATAGCCTGCTAGGTAATGGTATGACTTAATTCATCTTCAGCACTGATACCTGATATGTGAGGTTAGCTTGATTTAGGTTTCTTCTCCCATAGGAATATTGTACAACGTCTTCAGTACCTGAAATTCAGGAGGTGACTAGTGGCATATGTTGGAAAACTAGCTCGTCCCCTAAAGAAATAGCTTTTGAACCGCTGAGAGTATGCACAAAGCCTCACTCCTACTATTTGCCTACACAGCCACCACTGCTAGAAGAAGCGATCACACTATTATGGTACCAGCTTGACAATAGTGAAAACACTAAAATCATTACTCTTGAACACCATTAGGCTGATTTCAAAGTGGCTTGTAATAATTTTATTTCTGAATTTTATAGTGTTTCCACATAGGTTGTCATTTTATTCTTGCCATACAACTGGAATGTAATGCCAAGCAGGTATCCCTGTTTCCATTTTATAGGTGAAGGAGCTGATGCAGACAGGTTTCAGTCATTTCCCCCAAATGACAGAAGTTTTGCTGACACAAATATGCATTGCTTCTATCATAGGCATATTAGTCAGCTAGAGCTGCCGTAACAAAATACCACAGAGTGGTTTAACAACAGAAATTTATTTTCTCATAGTCCTGGAGGCCAGAAGTCCAACTGCAAGGTGCCACCAAGTATGGGTAGATGGCTGCCTCCTCATTGGGTCCTCACATGGCCCTTCCTCTGTGTACCTGCAGAGAAAGAGTGGAAACTCTCTTGTCTCTTCCTCATCTTATACGGACAGTCCTATGGGACTAGGGCTCCACCCTTGTGACCTTATTTAACTTTACCTCCTTAAAGGACTTCTCTCTTAATATAGTCATATTGGTGGTTAGGACTTCCACATGAATTTGGGGGGTGGGGCGGAACACCATTCAGTCCAAACAGATAGTAACCAAGGGACACTTAACACCACTTTGAGGAAATAGTTGTTTTATGTGACAAGCCTGGTTAACTATTTCTTACAGTCCCATAACACGTACATATCACCAGAGTTTATTTTAGTAGATTGCCCTCTACAGTGACTTACAACAAAAATAATAAATGTGCAAAACAAAACTTGGCTTTCACCTAAGGCAAAAAAAAATGCTTTAAAAAATAATATGATTCATTTGCCAATAATTTTCAGAATGTTCCCTGGCTTGGAAAAAGGAAGGATCACTGCAAAGGAGTGCCTAGCTTCTTTATCTGTATCTGAGTGACCAGCAAAGGCAGCTACTTTCTTTCTCTAGTCCTTTTTTCTTTCTCTAGTCATTAATATTCTTTTTAAAAAATGTATTTATTTATTTGACAGAGCAAGAGAGCAAGAGAGAGAGCATGAGCTGGGGGAGAGGCAGATGGAGAGGGAGAGGCAGGAAGCCTGATGTGGGGCTCAATCCCAGCACCCTGAGATCATAACCTGAGACAAAGGCAGACACTTAACCGACTGAGCCACCCAGCTGCCCCAGTCATTAATATTCTTTACATCTCTATAATCTTCTGTTCCCCCAAATAGCCTTTATTAATAACTGTATGTAACTGTATTATCTAAAATATACATGATCAAAATTAATATTTAAAATAAGCATTATTATGAGTCCATCCTGATTATTTGGCTATGCTTTAATAAAACCCATAGAAATTTCCTGGAGTACTTTTTATGTGACTTGAGATTAATATGTAAATAAAACTACAAAAATAGAAGAATCAGTTCCTAATGCTGCTTCTTAATTATTCAGGTCCTTAGAGTATATTATGATCGCCTTCTGGATAATGCAGATAGAAGTTGGCTTATCAACTACATTCAAGAAATTTTGAAAAAATACATGGATGAAGATTTTCATGAGCTTTTTCAGCACTTAGATTTCGATAATGATGGCGTGGTGGAAGAAGATGACTTGCGTAGCTTAATGTTTTGTGATTTTCATGATCCCAGGCGGGAGGACACCAACTACAGAGAAGTTGAGGATGTGGATAATCTTCGGGTGATAGCAGAAGCTCACCTAGAAGAATACAACAATATGAGCAAAAAACCCATGAGCCTTGTCTTGTTCCGATTTGCCATAGAACACATCAGCAGAATTTCCAGGATCCTGAAGCAGCCTCGCAGCCATGCTCTTCTGGTTGGTGTTGGAGGGAGTGGAAGGCAGTCTGTCACCAGATTAGCTGCCCACATGGCTGACTATTCAGTTTTTCAGGTTGAAATCTCCAAGGGCTATGATACTTCTGAGTGGCATGAGGATTTAAAAGTGATCTTAAGGAAATGTGCCGAAGGTGAGATGCAGGGTGTCCTCCTGTTTACAGACACTCAGATAAAAAGGGAGTCATTTCTAGAAGATGTCAACAATCTACTGAATGCCGGGGAGGTTCCAAATCTCTTCGCGTTAGATGAGAAGCAGGAGATATGTGATAAGATGCGTCAGTTAGATCGCCAACGGGATAAAACCAAACAAACAGATGGAAGCCCCATAGCTCTTTTCAATATGTTTATTGATCGCTGCCGCAACCAGCTGCATGTGGTCCTCGCCATGAGTCCCATTGGAGATGCATTCCGGATCCGCCTTAGGAAGTTCCCTGCTCTTGTTAACTGCTGTACTATTGACTGGTTTCAGGTATTGCCATGTACATTTTAGATAGACTTCTGAAAATGTTGAATCTTCGTCATCATCATGACTTATTTTATAGACTCCCCCCCACAAAATGTAACTGAGCAGAATTTTCTGATCAATGATAATGTATGAAATTAGAATTCAAGAAATCATCATAAGAGAAAAGCATTAAGCTCAATATATTATAGAAGGTTTTAGGATAAATTTGAGTATCAGTCATGGTCCCGACAGGGAACAGCACACCGAAGGCTTCACTGAGAAAAACTGAATGAAGGAACTGTTCCCAGAGCTGTAGGTGGGGTTAAAGGAACTGAGAGGAGACAGTGGAGCAGTTAGGAAGGGGTGGAGCATAGCAGGGAGCTTTACTACAGCTTGGGCATAAAGGGGAAGAGGAGGAGAGCATGTCCCTGGGGCTCGGAGCTGTGGAAGTAGGATTACCTGACAGGAGCAGGAACCCAAAACATAGGACTAGGCTCCTGCTAGAAAGGAAGGGAAGGTATGAATAGTCCTACCCATCTCTTCTTCCAGTCTCTTTCCATTAGCCAAACCCAACAGGAAGTCAAAAGGAAGAAAGCCAGAGTGACACTTGCGGTAGTTAACTTTGGTATCAGGAAGCACAGAGCAGATGAGAGAAGGGTGTGCGGTGGGGAGTTCGTGGGCTGTGGCAGAGTGTTTCTGGCCTTGGGGAATTTACATAGCCCCTCTGTTCCTCCATTTCCTGCTGAGCTTGTTTCTCGCAAAACAGATTTATTGAACCCTTGCTCAATAGCAGGTACTATTCTAAAAGCTGGAAGTGAAAAGGAAAGTGAAATAGACAAGGCTTCTGATCTCGAGCTTATTTTCTAGAGACAGACAAATTAGCAAAAAATCATTCCGTCAACAAGGTGGCATATAGGGAGTAAAAGCCTTTCTGAAGAGGTGACCTTTGAAGAGGAAGCATGCCAGACAAAATGTGCCAGTACTGAGAGCATCTGGGTGGAGGGCATAAATTAGTGAGGGCGAGGGGCTAGGGAAAGAATGGGTGTGTCAGGGGACACAGAGGTGGCAGGCGCCGAGTAACTAAGGGGGAAGAAGTAGAGGTGAGCTCAGAAAGGTGGGAAGGGCCCAACAGGCAGAGATTTACAAGTTGGTTTGGGATTTGATGTACGCCGGGAAATCTTTGAAGGATTATTAATTGGGGAGTGTGACATGAGCTAATTTACATTTTGAAAAAAATCCCTCTGGCAGCTGTAGAGAGCCACACAAGCAGGGAGACCAGTTAGGCCACCGTTGGAATGTTCCAAGCAGATGAAAACAGAAAGTTGAATTGGGATGGCTGTAGTTGATGTCGGAAGAAGAGAAAGGATTGGGAAGCTATTGTGCGGAGGGTGCCTATAGAACTTGTTTATGGGACGGATGAAGGGTTGAGAAGGAGGAGAGGTATCGAGGATGATTCCTGCATTTTGGCTGGAGCAAGGGGTGGATGGTGGTGATGTTTACAAAGTTGGGGAAGATGGCAACTACTTGGGAGGAGATAGGAACCACATTTTGGACTTGTCCCGAGTTTGAGATAACTTTAAGAGAAATCAAAGTGATAGTCATTCAGATGATTCTGGAGTTTAGAGGAAAGGATAATAACATTTACCTCAGAGAATTATTGGGAGAATTCAATGAGATGATACTGGTAGGATGCACATAGAAATAGACATTCCATAAGTTTAGTTCCTTTCCTCTTCCTTGCTCCTACAACACTCAAGAACAGTTTCTCTAACCTTTGAACAAACCATGAAGAATCAATATTACTTGTACTAGCTACTGGCTCCTAAGTGTGCAAGTCCTTGGTTGGGGGTGGGGGGAGGGAGTTCCTCATGGAAGTGTCTCTCTTGCCCCATCCCTCATGTGTTCCTCTCCATTTCTGACATCGATAAATCACAAAGGACTGCAGTAGTAACAGACTTACAGTAGTCACTTTGATCAAGTACTAACTCATTTATCTTAAATTTAGTCATGGCCTGAAGATGCACTCCAGGCAGTTGCCTCACGCTTCTTGGAAGAAATTGAAATGTCAGAGGAAATACGAGAAGGCTGTATCAACATGTGTAAAAGCTTCCACACTTCTACTATAGATTTATCTACATCCTTCTATGTTGAACTTCAAAGATATAATTATGTGACTCCTACCTCTTATCTTGAATTAATCTCCACCTTCAAAATCTTGTTGGAAAAAAAAAGAAGGTAAAAATGAAATTTCATATTTCTGTTTATTTATGTATTTTAAAGAGAGCACGCACGAGTTGGGGCAGGGACAGAGGGAGAGAGGGGGAAAGAGGGGCAAACAGACTCCACACTGAGCATGGAGCCTGCTTCCGGGCTCGATCTTACTACCCAAGAGTCAGATGCTCAACCGACTAAGGCATCCAGGCACCCCAAAATTTCATATTTCTAAGTAAGCTATGGTGATTTTAAAATATTTGTGTGTACAAAAATGACATAGCTATGATGTAGAAATTTATATTGTATATACATATATATGTGTTTGTACTGTGAATATTGTTTTATATATACTATAAATCTTTAAGTGATTTATTTTGCAAACATCTTTAGGATGGGGAGAGGTCTTATTCTTTTGTATAGATGGGTTGTCTGGCACATTGTAAATGCATAATCATATTTGTTGAAGGAATAAAGGCTTGCCACTCAGAGCTGGGCTAAGACTCCAGGATCCTTTGACAATGATATGGAGTAAACACCACTAGAGGGATTTTTTTTTTAATAAGTAATCAGATAATAGATAAAACTTCTGTTTAGGTATTGAACAGCTGAAACCCAGAAACTGCTAATCAGGTTTCCTTCTTTAAACTCTCATTTGAAAACCTCAATATGAACATCAATACACTTATGTACTATAGAATGTGTCAATGTGAATTTTCAATGTCATTGAGGGTGACATTTATTTATTTATTTTTGTAGTTTCAAGTTTTTATTTAAATTCCAGTTGGTTAACATATAGTGTAGTATTGGTTTCAGGAATAGAATAGAATAGTTTCAGGAATAGAACTTAGTGATTCATCACGTACATGCAATGCCCAGTGTTCGTCACAATAAGGATCTTCCTTAATGCCTATCACCCATTTAGTCCATCCCCCTGCCCACCTCCCCTCCAGCAACTCTCTATTCTCTATTATTAAGAGTCTGTTTTATGGTTTGCCTCCCTTTCTTTTTTTCCCTTCCCCTATGTTCATCTATTTTGTTTCTTAAATTCCATATATGAGTGAAATCCTATGGTATTTGTCTTTCTCTGTCTGACTTATTTCACTTAGCATAATACATTCTAGCTCTGTCCTTGTCATTGCAAATGGCAAGATTTCATTCTTTTTGATGGCTGAGTAAAATACCACTATATATATATATATATAGAGAGAGAGAATATATCTGGTATATATGTGTGTGTGTGTATATATGTATACGCATATACCACATCTTCTTTATCCATTCATCAGTTGATGGGCATTTGTTCTCTTTTCACAATTTAGCTATTGTTGATAGTGCTGCTATAAATGTCGGGGTGCATGTACCCTTCAGTATTTTTGTATCCTTTGGGTAGCTGGATTGTAGGGTAGTTCTATTTTTAACTTTCTGAGGACTTCCATACTGTTTTCCACAGTGGCTGCACCAGTTTGCATTCCCACCAACAGTGCAAGAGGGTGCCCCTTTCCCCCCATCCTTGCCAACACCTGTTGTTTCCTGACTTGCTAATTTTACCCATTCTTAAAGGTGTGAGGTGGTATCTCATTGTAGTTTTGATTTGTATTTTCCTGATAATGAGTGATGTTGAGCGTCTTTTCATGTGCCTGTTAGCCATCTGAATGTCTTCTTTGGAAAAAGGTCGATTCATGTCTTCTGCCCATTTCTGAACTGGATTATTTGTTTTTAGGTGTTGAGTTTGAAAAGTTATTTATAGATTTTGGGTCCTAACCCTTTATCTGATATGTCATTTGCAAATATCTTCTCCCATTCCATAGGTTGCCTTTTAGTTTTGTTGACTGTTCCTTTGTTGTGCAGAGCTTTTTATCTTGATGAAGTCCCAGTAGTTCATTTTTGTTTTTGTTTCCCTTGCCTTTGGAGACGTGTCTAGCAAGAAGTTGCTGTGGCCAAGGTTGAAGAGGTTGCTGCTTGTGTTCTCCTCTAGGATTTTGATGGATTCCTGTCTTACATCGAGGCCTCTCATCCATTTTGAATTTATTTTGGTGCATGGTGTAACAAAGTGGTACAGTGTCATTCTTCTGCGTGTGGCTGTCCAGTTTTCCCAACACCATTTGTTGAAGAGACTATCTTTTTTCCATGGATATTCTTTCCTGCTTTGTCAAAGATTAGTTGACCATAGAGTTGTAGGTCCATTTCTGGGTTCTTTATTCTGTTGCATTGATCTATGTGTCTGGTTTTGTGCTAGTACCATACTGTCTTGATGACCAGAGCTTTTTAATACAACTTGAAGTCTGGAATTGTGATGCCTCCAGCTTTGCTTTTCTTTTTCAAGACTGCTTTGACTATTTGGGGTCTTTTGTGGTTCCATACAAATGTTTGGATTGTTTGTTCTAGCTCTGTGAAAAATGCTGATGGCATTTTGATAGGGATTGCATTGAATGTGTAAATTGCTTTGGGTAGTATAGACATTTTAACAATATTTGTTCTTCCAGTCCATGAGCATGAGATGTTTTTCCATTTCATTGTGTTCTCTTCAATTTCTTTCATCAGTGTTCTATAGTTTTCCAGCATACAGATCTTTTACCTCTTTGGTCAGGTTTATTCCTAATTAACTTATGGTTTTTGGTGCAGTTATAAATGGGATTGATTCCTTGATTTCTCTTTCTGCTGCTTCATTATTGGTGTATAGAAATGCAACAGATTTTGGTATGTTGATTTTGTATTCTGTGACTGTACTGAGTTCATGTATCAGTTCTAGCAATGTTTTGGTGCAGTCTTTTGGGTTTTCTACACAGAGTATCATGTTGTCTGTGAGTAGCAGAAATTTGACTTCTTCCTTGCCAATTTGGATGCCTTTTATTTCTTTTTGTCTGGTTGCTGAGGCTAGACTGGCAGTACTATGTTAAAGTAACAGTGCTGAGAGCGGACGTCCCTGTCTTGTTCCTACCCTTAGAGGAAAAGCTCTCAGTTTTTCCCCATTGAGGATGATATTAGCTGTGGGTCCTTCATATATGGCCTTTATGATGTTGCCTACTATCATACTACCATCTCTATCCCTACTTTGTTGAGGGATTTTTATCAAGAATGGATGCTATACTTTGTCAAATGCTTTTTCTGCATCTATTGAGAGGATCATAGGGTTCTTATCCTTTCTTTTATTAACGTGGTGTATCACGTTGATTGATTTGTGAATATTGACTCATCCTTGCTAGTATCTTGTTGAGAATTTTTGCATCTATGCTCTTGGCCTATATTTCTCTTTTCTAGTGGGGTCTTTGTCTGGTTTTGGAATCAACGTAATACTGGCCTTGTAGAATGAATTTGGAGGTTTTCCCTCCATTTCTATTTTTTGGAACAGTTTGAGAAGAACAGGTATTAACTCTTATTTAAATGTTTGGTAGAATTTCCCTGGGAAGCCATCTGTATCTATCTGGATTTGGATTTTGGCTGGAAGATTTTTGATTACTGCCTCAATTTCTTTGTTGGTTATGGGTCTGTTGAAATTTTCTTTCTTCCTGTTTCAGTTTTGGTAGTTTATGTTTCTAGGAATTTATCCATTTCTTCTAGATTGCCCAGTTTGTTGGCATATAATTTTTCATTCTTTTATAACTGTTTGTACTGCTGTTGTGGTGTTGTGATCTCTTTCTCTCCTTTGTGATTTTATTTATTTGGGTCCTTTCTCTTTTCTTTTTGATAACTCTGGCTAGGAGTTTATCAATTTTTTTAATTCCTTCAAAGAACCAACTCCTGGTTTTTGGATTTGTTCTACTGGGTTTTTTTGTTTGTTTCCAAATCATTTATTTGTGCTCTACTCTTTATTTCCTTTCTTCTGCTGGTGTTAGGCTTCATTTGTTGTTCTTTTTCTAGCTCCTTTAGGTGTAAGGTTAAGTTGTGTATTTGAGACTTTTCTTCTTGAGGTAGGCCTGTATTGCTATATACTTCCCTATTACTGCTGCTTTTGCTGCATCCAGAGGTTTTGGGCCATCATGTTTCATTTTCATTTGTTCCCATGTATTGTTTAATTTCTTCTTGAATTTCCTGGTTTACCCATTCATTATTTAGTAGGATACTAAATATAAATACCTCCAGGTATTTATGGTCTTTCCAAATTTTTTCTTGTGGTTAGCTTCAAGTTTCATTGCATTTTGGTCAGAAAATATGCATGGTATGATCTCAATCTTTTTGTCTTGGTTGAGGCCTGATTTGTGACCAAGTATGTGATCTATTCTGGAGAATGTCCTATACGCATTTGAAAAAGAATGTGTATTCTGCTGCTTTAGGATGAAATGTTCTGACTGTATCTGTTAAGTCCATCTGGTCCAGTGTGTCATTCAAAGCCATTGTTACCTTGTTGATCTTCTGCTTAGATGATCTGTCCATTACTGTGAGTGGGGTGTTAAAGTCTCCTACTATTATTGTATTATTATCAGTGAGTTCCTTTATGTTTGTTATTAATTGATTTAGATATTTGGGTGCTCCCAAGTTAGAGTCATAAATATATGTAATTGTTAGATTTTCTTGTTGGATAGACCCCTTTATTAAGATGTAGTGCCCTTCTTCATCTCTTATTACAGTCCTTGGTTTAAAATCTAGTTTGTCTGATATATGTATGGCAACTGCAGTTTCCTTCTGATGTTCATTAGCATGATAATGGGTTCTCCATCCCCTCACTTGCAATCTGTCGGTCTAAAGTGAAACTCTCTCTCTCTTTTTTTTAATATAGCTTATCTCATGAGCTTATTCTGATATTTCCTTCAAATATAGTACTACATGGTTTCACTGAACTTTTTCTTTTCTTTTTTATTTAAATTCAATTAGCCAACATATAGTACACAATTAGTTTCAGATGTAGAGTTCAATAATTCATCAGTTGTGTATAACACCCAGTGCTCCTCACATCATGTGCCCTCCTTAATGCCCATCACTCAATTATCCCATCCCCTCACCCTTCTCCCCTCCAGCAAACCTCAGTTTATTTCCTATAACTAAAAGTCTCTCATGGTTTGTCTCCCTCTCTGATGACTTCCCAT